ACACACACATACATACACATACACACACATACACACATGCACACACATATATACACATACATACATACACACATACACACAATATACACATGCATACACATACATAGACATACACACACATACATACACATATACAGATATATATATATACACACACACATACATACATACATATAAAATATATAAATGTTTGCTTTTTCACACTCATCCAAACAAATATTGTCTGTACGTACCGTTTTGCTTGCATTTCGTTTCTTTCTTCTTTTTTTATCAAAATAATTTGTAAAGCAAAAGAAAAATTTTCTTCTTCAAACTAAATTAACTATTAAAATTCATGTACATCTTACGTATATTAATTAATCACATTAGTATCATAATTGGATAGATGTAATCATTATTTAAAGATTAATTGCTAAAAACATTTATTGCTGTATTTTTGTTATACTTATAAATGCATAATTGTTGTTGATAGATTATTAAAACAATAATATCTTAGCAATTCATTTATAAAACAATTACTAATTGCTATTATTTATCATATTTGATTTTATTATATTACTTTATACATTAAGATAGAACGATGCAAAATGAATGACCGCTGTGACATTCATTCATTCATCAAAGTTCTCGAGAGCACACTGTCCAGTCACATATCTGTCTGTATGTGGTAGCAGTGACCTTCAGAACAATTAGTAATTTTGATAGGGGGAGGAGTAAGGACGAGGAAGGAGGTTGGAGCTTAGGAATGGAAGATATTGAAAAGGTGGAAAGGGAAAAAAGTGGAGAATACTATCAAGACAGATGGATGATATGAAAGAATGAAATAAATGAGTAAGAAGAAAGAGGTATATAATATCTCTCTCGACAGGTGAACTTCGTCGTCGTGACCGCCCGTTTTAAGAGTGGTAAGAGAGAGAGAGAGAGAGAGAGAGAGAGAGAGAGAGAGAGAGAGAGAGAGAGAAAAAATAAATGACCGAATTTCGCGCAATTCAACGAAAGTACTGACCTTTGAATTTTGTCACCTTGAGTAGGGAGTGAGATAGTAAAAGAAATGATGAAAATTCATTTCGCATAACGAACGATGACCAGACAGACTAATAAATAGATGGGACAGACATACACGTCTACCTGCAAATGATGGACCGCCGATCACTCCAACCATTCCTCCGTTCCACTTCTCAGTTCAATTCACTTCTATACATACCACTTGTCCTGTATGTGTACGTGTCTGCCTATATGTTATGTATGTGTGTGTGTGTGTGTGTGTATGTGTATGTGTATGTATGTGTATATGTGTGTATGTGTGTATTGCGTGATAGAACAGACATCGTTTCAAAAATGAATTCGATTGAATTTAGTTAATTCATTTGCTTTTGCGGAACAATTAAACAGTAATAGAAATTGGTGGTAACTCTTTTATTGAACTAATAATTTTATTGTAACAGTAACAGTAATGATATTGTAAAAATCAGTACAACGACAGCAACAGCATTATAGTAGTAAATAACCAAATGGTTTTTCTTTCTTTTTCTATTGCATGAAGCAAAGATGGAGATAATATGATTGGAAAATCTTTTTTTTTTTTTAACTTATAAATAATTCTTAAGAAGATTGTTTGTAATTTAAAGTCTTGAAATTTACATTTACTTTTCCTAATCATAGACTTGATGAACAAATTTTTCATCAACATTTTGTAACACCGTTGTGATAATTCTGTTCCAGAAAAAAAAAGCATAAATAAATAAGGTAATACATTATAAGTCAGTTATAAATTGTTTGTTAAGTAAATAATAAAAAATTTTAATTTTTAATATGAATTTTTATGTCTTTTTTTTTCCTTTCCTAAAACAATTGTAATGCTAAAAATTTAATTAGCAATACAAACTTTTTCAGCTATTCATTTCCATGATATGTAGTTAATTAAAATCTGGAAAAATGAATGTTAAATAAACTATTCTCATAAATTTTTATTTAATTTCCAATACTGAGTGAATCACTTTTCCTTCACTTTTTTCTCCGTCTTTTTTTGTTTTCTAATTGTTTACCCTTGTCAGTGTCACAAATACATTCATTAGTAGTTAGAAAAAAGTAAATAAATTTTATCGGGTACTGTATTTTTCATCAAAATTCCTCATTACACTTTTTTCTTCCATCTCTTACCTTTTCGTTCTTTTCCCCGGTTCTCCTCCCTTATAATCATCTATAATTGTCAATTAGTTTTTGGATTATATGTCAATCAGCCGAAGATACTATACCATTTTTCTTCTTATTTTTCCAAATTATTCTGTCTTTCTCTCTCTCTCTCTCTTAAAAAAAGGAATTAACTTTTTTAAATAATTCAAACAGCTATTAGCATTAATGTATATGTATATTACATATATTAAGGGCATTAATTAGCAAATTAATAAAGTGTAAAAAAATTGATGAAGAACGAAAGAATGATAGAGCAAAAAAAAAATAGCGAAGGAAAGAGAAAGGATGGAAAAAAAAAGGAAAGATGATAATAATAAAAATTAGGACAATGACCAAAATGAACGAATAATATTGTAATAAAACGATAGAAGAAAGGAAGCGATTAATAAAATTAAACATTGAAGAATGCGAGATTGTTGGATTTTAAAAGTTGGAAGAAATATTTTTAATTAACGCAAAACTACCGTGCGCGTTTTATCTGTTTGTTCGCACAGCTTATATATCAGATACCTGCCTGTTCACATTTTTGTCAACCTGTATTAATTGTGTATGCGTGTAGGATGTATATGTGCATGCACTTGCATATACCGTATGCATGCCTTCTTGAAAAGTTTCTTTTTTTTTTTAATTCGTAATAAAAATTGATGTTGATGGTGTGGATGATAATAATAGTTGTGGTGGTGACAATGATGGCAGTGTTGATGACACGATGGTGATGAGTGATGATTGGAGTGATGATACTGATGATAATAATAATAGTAGTAGGAGAGAGAAGTTGTTGTTGTAATAGTAAAATTAACCCTAAGCAATACGATGGAAATTGTTCAAACAAAAATTTAATTTATTAATAAATAAACAAATTGTGAAAAATAATCAGTCATAAGAAAATGGAGCAAGGATTATTGTTTTATAATTCAGTGCAAATATGACGGCAATCACTATACCAATTACGTCAATAATTTTTGATCATATCGATATTTTTCATTATTGCGGTAAACACATATCATTTTTGCATTTTGGTTTATTAAAATGCTTTAAATTTGAAATAATTTTAAGATTTCACTGATGTAGACTGTTTAATTATATTGAATTGCTTAAATTTGAAATATGATTATTATTAATTGAGTCTTTGCTGATGTCTTAAGTATACAATTTTGATTTTTGTCATTGGTTCCTTTTAGGCAGATAGATATTTTCACTGAAAAAAATTTTTTTTACCCCTAAACATTGCCGTACACAAGCAATTTATGTATAATATTAATTTTATTATTATTATATTTTTTCCACGTTTATTTGATTTCTATAGTTATCAATTTTTCATTCCATTGATCATCATTAATATTGTATTTAGCATTCCTTTTTTAAATTTAATGAAGTACTAATTTTAAATCTGACAAAATTTTTCTCAATTTTTTAATAGTATGATATAAAACATTTCCATCATTAAATATTTATATCACCAATGTTTTAATCAATGATGACATCAATACTTTTAGTAATAAAAGAGAAAAATTTCATCGCTGTTTGCTTCTATATTTATTTCACTTTTTTTCTTCATTTTATCACCCTTTTTCTGCATTTTTTTCCCATTTTTTTTTGCAAAATTGTGAGAGTCGAAAAAAAAACATATAACGATTTAAATTTTTAAAAAACATCAGTATTCATCACTGATAAATACCGCTTGACTTATTTTCTTTTTTCAAACTAAAATACAAAGAATTTTACTCTATTTGAAGTTCTAAAGAATACATCATTGTAACATTTGTAATGAGAGTCTCACTGGTAAATAAATTACTAATGACAGCTTGGCATGCCAAACGGTCGTTAATAGTTGATTACGATTAAATCGAATTGAAAAAGACTGCATCATTGTAATTGCGATTTCTGTATTAATGTCGTACATTTATTGTGTAATATTTTCATATATACTTCTCAACTCCTTGCTTTAAATTCTTATTCTAATCTTGTGATTAATTAAATTTTGATCAAAAAAAACATGGAGACAAAGATATCATTTGCCATCTAGTCCGATATTTACGTTCAAAATTAAAATCCTTAGGATGTAATATTTTCCATTACATGTTTCGATTTTCGAGTTTTTAAATTATTGATACAAATTTTAAATTTGCGAGAAGTGTTGATAATTTTATTAATTTAAGAATGGAAAAATTCTTATAATTTTGGGGGCACAATGATTTAGTCAGTCAGAATTTAGGTCAAAATGAAGATTTGTACAATACTGTTATATGAAATGATATGTTTAATAAGTGCAATTGCAGTTAAATTTCTTCAAATTAAAATTTATTCGAAATTTCAGTGCAATATCGTTATTTAAAGCACGCATTCGAGCTTGTTCGCCAAACAGCGGCGCTCCAATACCTTCTACCTCGGATGCTTGCCGTTTGGAAATTTTAGCTAATGCACATTTCTTGTCCAACATCAAAATTGCAAAGCTAACCAAAATATCAAACGAAAAAGAGTATAATTTTAATTTTTTAAAAAAATCATTATTATTGTTTTAAATCATTGTAAATCATCGTTAGATTAATTTAAGAGAGTAGTGTTTGAAGCACATACTCTCTTTTATTTCCATATTTTTGATCTTTTCCAATCTCTTACTAATATATGTTATTCTTTTCATTTTAATATTAAAAACTACTTAGTGATTTTTAATTTTTTCTGGGAGATTTTTCTGAAATTATTTCTTTATGTGACATTAAAATGCATTGCTAATGCATTAATACTTACATGCATTGCAAAGTCATTGATTGCCTGTAATAATTGTAATAAAATGACTGATAATTTGGTAGGATTATTTTTAAAAACGTTGAAAAAGATAGATTGTTAGATATTATTATCTCTCTTACTTCTAGCACTTTTTTGGAAGCATACTGTATATGCTGCACTGGTATTTAATAGGGATTTTTAGACCTAATATACAGTACTCCAATGCATCAACGGATATAGCAACATTAGAAGCAGCAATCGGTAACAACTTGAATGCCACATCATCACCGTCAACCGTACCGTACCCAGTGACGTCACAATTAAATTTTATGCAGCAATTGGCTTTTCCTTTTCGTCTAGATATCACCTCTCCTGCAATCACACCTGATACTTCCGCAGTTGCTGCAGCAGCAGCAGCTGCTGCTGCAGTATTTAATATTGCAGCAGCAGCAAATGTTACAACACATGCTTCAATGCTACAACATGCAACACCAACTATTACTTTTGATCCGTATACAACTGCACAGGTAGCTGCTGCAGCTACGCAACTTTTACAAGAACAACATGAATTTCAGCAGGTTATGCAACAACTAAAAGTCAATAATTGCAATTCAAATGATACGATAAATGGCTATCATCAAAATGAGGTATTACATACAGGCTATTGAGTACATTAAAATTTTAATTATACTAATTTTTGCATTAAGTATGAATTTCATATAGTGCTTTACATTTAACATGTATCATCATGCACCACATTTATCACATTTCGTAGATCAGATTAGGTGTCCTACAAATAAGGTTTCACATTTAGCATGTTCGTTGCATGTATCACATTTTATAATGGTTTATTCAAATTATAATCTTATAATCTTAAAAGATCCTAAAGAAAATCAGTCCCCATTTTATGTCATCTAACTTTGTAGAAATGTGAGGTTTGTTAAATTAATTAAATTATTCCTAAGAATATTACAGTATGTAGCAATTTATATAAAAATGCAATGAAAAGGATAGATGATATATTAGCGTAGAGTAAGTCAAATAATTGCTAAAAATTAACCATAGTAACAAAACTTAGTACTATAAGTTAATATGGCTAATTGAAAAATGTAATAGCAAAATAATTAGATTATAATCAGAAATTCCGGATCATTTGTTAATAAACTAATACTGTATTGTATTATTTGTAGAGTAACGTTGTAGAGGAGGATTCAAAAAGTCACAAGGAGGCTAAAATTGAAGTATTTAGCGAGGATGAAGATGATTACAGTGATGGGGAGGATGTCTGTGCATTCAAAAAAAATGGTAACTAAATTTAAAAACGGTTTTTGATTTTATTTCTTTAATTTTGTCGGATTTTTTTTGAGTTCCCAGAAATAATTTATAAATTTGAAATGTAAAATTACATTTTAAATTATTAATGAAAAGAATTAGTGATTTTTTTAAATGCTCTTACAACTTATTTAAGCTATTTTTTAAACATTACTGATTTACCTGGCAGTGCTGTAATTTATAGGTGAAAAAAATAGCTGGGGAATGGAGGGTAGCAAAAACTTGGATGAGAATACGAATTTTGTTATGGATCAACAATCACATGGCCAAGAAGCGGCAAGTTGACTTTCAAATTCCGATGACTTGCAAATATTAAAATTAGGCTTACAAAATTCTTTATCATTTTCTCACTTCCAAAAATATCATACGTGAAGTTATTTGCTGAATTTAACGTATAAAAAAGCAAAACTGTGCTATAATTTTGTTAATTATTTGTTCTTATCGTAAATCTTAATTTGAGTTTTTAAATTTTTACAAATTTTTTTTTCAAAAAATATTAGCAGAAAATTTTTTTTCGAAAATTTTCGAATTTCATCTTTAGACTTTTGATGCAACGGAATATGTAAATGAATATCCACCATTACCAACTGCTGGATCCGGAAGTCCATTATGTTACTCAGCTGTTGTAAAGGGTATTAAACCGCTGAACAATAACAACAATAACATCAACAACAACATTAACAATAACAACAACAACAACAGTAACAGCAACAACAAACCATCATTCAATTCTATGAAAGGTAAGTGATACTTTGAATTTTTTAAGATAAAATTCTCAATTGTTTGAAAAAGTTTTCTTTTGAATTTTTATATTTATTTTAGAATGCTCAAATGCAACATCACAACAAAATACATCAACTATGAGTTTCATATCAACGCAAATATCACAGTGGGATCAAATGGTGTTTGAACGTGGTGGTAAATTTAATAAGCCAGCACCGCAATGCATTCATTGGAATAATCCCAAACACCGTCTCGATTTTCCATGTCGTTTTTGGCATCCACGGGAGCAATGCCGGTAATTTTTCCAAATTAATTATATATTAAAAATGTCAAAATTTTCCCTGTACTATTTTTTTCTATCTTCAATTATTTTTTTTTACATATTTTAGAGATTATTTTGCATATGCCTTTTCTTCCAATGAATGTTGTTGATAGTTTATATATGTTAACAATATTGACGTTACAAAAATTCGATATCAAACTATTAAATATTTCTCATGCTACTTCCAATAATTTCCAATTCAATTGCCTGACTCTTTAAATTTCACGTAAAATTAGTAGAATACTTTAAATAATTTATTTATTAACTCAGCTACTATCCAAATTGCTCAAATACAGCCGATGAATGTGGTTTTGCACATCCATTTTGTGGTGATTTTTGTCGTTGTCCAAAAGGAAAACGAGATCCTCAGAAAAATCATCGTATTCCTGAGGAGAGATATTTCGGTAATTTAAAGTTTTCCTATTTTCTTTTCTCTGAAATTAATTAATTAGATGAAATGAAATAAATTCTGTGGGAAAGAATTAAAAATAAATACCAGTCTAAAAATTTTTCTTTTTCATTTAATAAATTGATCATTCATTTCATTGCTTCAGTACCTAATGCGATTTGAATAGGAAAACTTGAGGTTATAATGAAATAAATAAAATTAAAGAAATTTGAATTAAGATTACAGGTAGTGGTGATCGAATGAAATATTCTGCTAATAATGGTACGCGATAAATATTGGATGAGTAAAGTAAAATGGCGTTCAATCAACAGAAGCAGAAAAAGTGAACAAAATA